AAAAAAAAAAAAAAACTCGAGGTAGCAAATATCATAAATAAGGCATTAATTCGTTCCTCCGTTTTGCGCCCCGAAAATTGTAAAGGAAAACGGATAAAAAGCAGACTCGCAGTTGGAGCCAACAAAGTAAACGATGGGGTTCATGAAACCCTTTGAGAAGCGGAAGCGTCGTCGTGTGAGATGTATACAAAGGCTAGAAAGCCAAAAACGCTAAATGCTGACTGTTGCGATGCGAGGCTGAGAAGAACGCCGTGCGCTATGATGAGAAAGGAAATTGTACTGTGTGGGTCGTGGGATTCGTCTAAGCGGCAACCGTGTGGGATCGGAACAGCATCTTCAAGCCGGATGGTTCCTTTTCCTTCTTCCTACTGCTCTCCTTGCCGCTCTTACTTGAGCCAACTTTACTTGCGCTATCCTTGCCGACCTTGCTTGAGCTGTCTTTTCCAACTTTGCTCGAGCTGTCCTTGCCAACCTTACTTGAAGCGCGTTTGGACTCAGACTTGGACTCAGAGGGCTTGGACTTGCTGCGATGTGACTTGTGTCGTGATTCGCTGGTGGTGGTCCTCTTGGACCTGGTGCTGCGGCGCGACTTGAGGTCGTCTTCATCAAGAATACCCGCGTCACAAAGCTCTCGCGATACTCCGGGGGTGATGAACTCGCCATCGACGCTGGTACCGCAGCTTTCGGCCTCGATGTCAGCGATGCCACGGCGCCACTTCTCAACGCGGCTGAGTTCCTGCGGCTGCAGCTCGTCCAGCTCGTTGCTGGGCTCTTCTATGGCAGCGGGGGCAGTAGCGGCACGAGAAATCATGGGCTGCGCGGGGGCTTCAAGAGGGTCGTACTGGGGTTGGGTTTGGATCTTCTTGATGATCTTGTACCCACCGAGGGCAACAATGGTAACGCCCACGGCAACACCTCCAGCAATCATAAACTGAGGGCTGAGGAGGAGTGCAGCGACTGCAGGAAAGCTGCCCTTGAGCGACATGAGAACACCAGGTCCCATTTTGGTGACAAGGGCGCTAATCTCGGCTAGCGTAAGCGAGACAGCGGCTAGTGCCTCTGGGTTCTTCTGTAAGTTCTCGATGATGGCGGTGGCCGTGTACTGGAGGGCGTTTGCCTCGTCAAGAAGCATTTCGATCTTGGAAGCCTTTTCTTTCAGTTCGAGCTCCTCGATCTGCGGGTCTGGTAGGGGTGGGGGTACATCGCCGTATGCGAGGTCCATGTCGACGTAGGCGGCTTTGGTGCGGGGCTGGTCGGAATGCCTCCTCGCAACCTCTTTTCCGTGTGAGTCTTGGCCGTTGAGATCAGCTTCGAAGCGATGGCGGCTGCTTCGTGGAATATCGGTATGGCCACGCTCTAGAGGAGGGCGCCTGGATGACTTTGATGCCTTTGAGCGATGCGAAGTCTGGGAACGAGTGTCGTCATCGATGCGCAGAGCATTTATGCTCTTTGAGAGTTCCTTCTCCTTGATAGCGGCATCGCGCTCAGCTTTAATTTCAGCCTTGCGCTCGCGGTATGCAGCCTTGGCCTCCTTGAAGACGCCAAAGATGTGCTTGCTCTAGAAGGCGAGTGGTCAGTATGGGTATGTAGAGTGTGTAATGTAGGCGAGGGTAGGGTAAAAAGAGGGGCTAGCTGAATTTGTCGACTACTTACACTGCTCACCACCTTGCCGCTCTTGTTGATCACTGTAATGGTTTCACCGAGTCCTACGGCCATCCTGACGTACTAGGGGCAGGTTGTTCCTGCAGTATGCACAACGGGCGGGACGACTGGGTTTTTGTGCGACCAGAAGGGGGGTTGTTGCGGTGAGGGTGGTTGTACTTGTGGTTCCGGTGTGTGAGGCGGTCAGGAGGGATCAATGCTCGCGGAAACGGCAGCTGGCGCAACTCCACAACAAGGTTCCACCTGGGCCGTCTGTTTGTCGCGGGCGGGTGGCGGGCTCTATAAGGGGAGTGCGAGTCACAGTTCTGGCGGGATTACTTGTCGGGGGGTAGATTCGGGAGTGAGGCGATTTTGCGCCAACTGCGACACGCAGGCCATGATGACAGTGGAACCGCTGCGAGGGCGCAGACTGGCCGGAAGCGAGATGCATCCAAGGGCCTCCACGCGACTGCCGTGTCGTCTCGGCCAGTACAGGAGGGGCAAGGCGGGCAGGCGTGTCGCCGTGTCAATGGGTGGTGCTAGAGGCGCTACCATGGCGGCCGGATATGCGGGCAGCGAGACGCTGCATCAGATCCCTTTGGGCGGGGGATGCCATTGGTGCGCAGCCCAGCCACTGTGTTTCTTGCTGCCGACGTGGTGAACGTGTCGCTGCTGCGAGTGGCCGACTAGCCCTCTGTGCTGCCTCAGCTTCTGCGCGTGCTGATGCCATGGTGCAGACGCTGGTTGATGCCCAAGCTGCCGCCCGGGGGGGGATGGGATGGGGCTGCGGGATTTGCGTGACCAGCTGGCAGCGCTCCATTCTGCTTTTCGCTACTTTGCGCTGCTGGGGGGCGGGGGATGCTGGTCTTGACCGGCCCTTGGCTGGCCCTGGAGTGGTCCTCGAATGGCCCTGACCGGTTCAGAACCTGAAGAACCGCGCCTGCCGTGGCGCAAACTGTGGCGCATGCTATGGCGGTGCCCCCTTAACTCACCGAGACTGTCGCTTTCCGAAGGGTCTGGACTGCCAGCGGCCAGTGCCAAGCCCTTCTCTCTGCTTCTGCTGCCTGTCTCTCGCTTTGACTACGTACCACCCAATAATTGCAACAGCATGCAAGGCTGCGTAAGACGTGGTCATGCCCTTTCATTTTTCCTCTTCTCTTTTTTCCTCTTTTCTCCGCAACATCAGCGGCGGCTGCTGCCGCCGTAAAGTGTGCCATCATTGTGGCTTGAAGCTCACGGCTCCTCGTCGTCATCCCACGCCCACCGACTCTCATGCTGCTTTTTCATATATTCACCGGTAACACCAGCTAGCTTAGCTTTCCACCTACGTATGGATCGAATTGTCCGGCGCACTGGCCATGGCCTTTGCTATCGGAATGTCGGTATCGTGACTCTTCTGTCGGCTGGGGGCAGAACACGACTTCACACCGTCGACCGACGATCACCACTCCATTCTTAACGTTTGCAATGGCTAACGGAACACACCCGCTCCTTTAAGTATGCGTCGGCATACGGCTATGTGCCCTAGCGACCCTCTTCCACGTCTTTTTTGCATAGCACTGGCCAAACGGAAGCCGGGCCCAAAGCCGTCGTCGCTGTGACTGCTGCGTCTGCCATGACTGTAACTCCGGAGCTGGCTCTCCGCAATGCGAACACGTATCCGGCTTCGCAAACGGTCAAGCAGACCACATTTATGCAATGCACTGCTAGCCCTGAGTGATGGCCAAGCGCTGGTTGTAGCGTAGACAGAATGCTCCCAATGGAAGGGGAGACATTCCCATACACGCACATATGGACTGCACATCGCCGTGAGCATCAGTAGCTTTCTTCTCATCACACTGCCGTAGTCATGCAAGGTAATCAAGCAAAAGAAACCAGCGATAAAGGGGCTAAGCTACCTCGTCACTTGGTCCTGATACACCCTTCAAGCCCAAAGATGGCGCCATCTCAGGGTCATCGCTCGCCATGTACGAGCGGTGACGCTGATACCATGTGTGAGCAACAGTGCCTGAGCTCTCCTGCGACTTCGTCGACGTCGAGAGACGATGAGACGTTCTCCGACACGACACTCGACGATGTACTCGAAGACGACGAGCCACTATCTCCTTGTTCACATACCTTGACCGGGAGTACGTCTTCGCATAGCACAGACACTTCTGCTCATGCCATTTTCCCTTTGCATCTCATTTCAGGCTGCAGCTCGACTGGCAGAAACACAATGTGTACCTTTTCGCGGACCATTACCGCAGAAGAGGGCAGGAGGAAGTTTTTGGAATTGAGAGGTATGTAAGACGCGTGACCGTGGTCGAGGTGTGGTGTGCTAGGCACGTAGTCAATGGGACAGCCCCGCAGGCGGCGCACCTAGACCCTAGAGCTCCGTCATCGCTTCGCTCGCTCCCTCGCCCGCTCAAACCATCACACGCGACCATGCAGGAACAACACCAAGGGTGCACTTTGGAGCCAGGCTGACCATGCCCACAGCAGTCCCTCCGCACAATGATACCGCCATGGGCACCGTGGGCACAACAGACCCGGACCACCCACTCCCGTTCATGGATCGAACGCCCGCGCTCTCCCATCGCATGAAGCACGACAAGTCTATCCTGGCACTAGCACTGTCCTCGCAATACATTTTTGCCGGTACACAGGGCGGAGAGATATTGGTACGGGTAGCAGAACAAATTGCACTTTCTTGCATCTGATGGCGTGTTAGGTTTACAGCCTCGATACCTACGAGCTTCGTAGAGTCATACATGCACACAAGGGCAGCGTGCTTGGCCTGTGCCTGTCGCAAGACCGCAAATGGCTCTTTTCGAGTGCGGCAGACCCAATCGTCAATGTCAGTGATTACCTCCGCCGACTGAGTGTGTGTACTAACTCGCCAGGTCTGGTGCACGTCGACTTTCAAGCATCTCTATGCCCTCTGGTCTCCCTACGACATTGGCGACATTTTCTGTGTCGCCTACTCGTCCCAACACCATACTGTATACCTTGGCGCCCAAAACACAAGCATACAGTGGTATGACTTGAAGGAAAAGGATACCCGGCCCACGCCTAGCCTCTCTTCGCGCCCGACCGAGCGCAAGAACAGATTCTTTGATTCACTCGGACCCGGCGGTGCCCAAACACCAAGGCCTGCTGGTGCAGACACAAGGCCGCGAGATGCAGCGGGTGGACAAGAACTGCAGATCGACAGTCACGACATTTGTCAGTTTGCCCACTATGGATACGTACACTGCATGCTCGTGGGGAGCGGCATACTGCCAGAAGCACCATCGGAAGAAGTGCTAGTCTCCGGAGGCGGAGACGGACGCATCCTATTATGGAGAATAGATCCATCACAGCGGGGCAGCATATCAGCCATCTGCACACTCGAAGACGGGAGAGAAGAGGGCGAATCAATCCTGTCTCTGGCTAGAGAAGGGTCTTTCCTGTACAGCGGACGCTTCGATGGCGAAGTCAACGTGTGGGACCTAGAAACCAGGCAACTAGTGCGAAGCCTCAAGGCGAGCACTGGCGACGTGCATACGTTGTCGTTAGGCTCCGGTGTCCTGTATGCCGGTGGTAAGACTGGTGCTATGCAGGTGAGTCTTGGTATTAGCGGGCTTGAGCGGGCCAATCTGACGTGCTCAGAAATTCAACGAGCATTATGAGACGATTACGACTTTTCAAGCACACGACGGCTTGATCCTCGCATCAGCCTTCACACGCTATGCAGACAAGTCAATACTGGTCACGGGCGGCAATGACAACACCGTCGTCGTATGGGAAGTCAAGGATTGCGCGGAGCCGGATGCCACTACGAGAAGAAGCAATAATGGTGCGTACACGCTGGCATTCGTCAACCCGCACTTCTAATGTGTTGTGCAGATCTCATGGTGGAGTCTTTGAGTCAATTCGTCTCGTTTCGGACCGTATCGTCGCTGCCCAAGTATCGTGCGGACTGCCGCCGAGGTGCATCCTACCTTAGGTCGGTTTTTCAGAATTTCGGTGCCGTAACCGAGATGATCAACACTTCCGACTACAACCCAATAGTATTTGCCAAGTTCCGTGGTAACCCCGCCACCGCGGCATCGCGAAAGAAGATTTTGTTTTACGGCCACTACGATGTCATACCTGCAGAAAACGAGCAGCGCAAGTGGAAGCATGATCCCTTCACTCTTACAGGAGAAGGGGGCTACTTGTATGGCCGTGGCGCGTCCGATAACAAGGGCCCTATTATGGCTGCCATCTATGCCGCACATGAATTGGCCAATGAACAGAGCTTGGATTCTGACATCATCTTTCTCATCGAAGGTGAAGAGGAAAGCGGCTCTCGTGGCTTTGAAAAGGCTGTACGGGCTAGAAAAGACCTCATCGGTGACGTTGACTGGATTCTCCTAGCAAACAGCTACTGGCTCGATGACCATGTACCATGTCTGACGTATGGACTGCGAGGCGTAATTCACGCTACTGTGCAGATTGAAAGTAAGCACCCGGACCTACACAGTGGTGTTGACGGCAGCGCACTACTGGATGAGCCGCTCAAGGACCTCGTCATGCTGCTTTCAAAATTGACTGCTCGACATGGCAAGGTCCAGATTCCTGGTTTCTACGATCCCATCTTGCCTCTGGCCGATGATGAGAGGGAGCTGTACACTGAGATCACTAATACGCTCTTGCGCTGCAACCCTGGCCTAGGCGATGCAGATGAATTGGCACAGTCACTGATGCGAAGATGGCGTGAGGCATCGCTTACTATACATCGCTTCCAAACATCGGGCCCAGACAACTCGACCATTATCCCGCATCTTGCAAAGGCAGCTCTGTCTATCCGTCTAGTACCTAACCAAGAAGCCGGGGATGTAGCCAAGGCACTGAAGTCGTTTCTACAAGATGAGTTTGAGCAACTCGACTCGAAGAACGAACTCAAGGTTACCATTGATCACCAAGCTGAGCCATGGCTGGGCGACTTTGGCAACGAAATATTCCAGACGCTCGAACGCGCCATCATGTCGGTGTGGGGCCCACGACTGGGCCAAAGGAGAGAGAGCATGTCGGCTGCAAAGGCCTCGGACTACTTTTCAGCGAATTCAAAGAGTGTAACAGAAGCCAGCGCTGCTGCTAAGAAATCCGCTGTGCCCACAACATCCAACACACTGGCCAATTCTTCAGATCCATCTCTTGCCACTGCAATCGACCAAGGCTCTGACGCTTCGACACCAGATCCGACAGAGGAGGAATTTGTTCCACGCAAGCCTCTTTATATTCGCGAGGGTGGCTCCATCCCCAGCATCAGGTTCCTGGAGAAGGAATTCAATGCGCCTGCTGCGCATCTTCCGTGCGGCCAGGCAAGTGACAGTGCACATTTAGACAACGAGCGGTTGAGGCTGGTCAATCTATACAATAGTAAGAAGATTTTCAAAGAGGTGTTTAGGGAGTTGCCGCGGAAATGAAAGGGTGGTAGTGGTGGTATTGGAGTTGGAGGGTTAGTCAATGAACGGCGAAGGGTGGTTTTCTAGATAAAACTAGGAATTCTTTTGTAGTGAATGGGGGAGGCGTAAGTGTAGGGTGGTTGAATTGGTTGAAACATGTTGCCTTTGGCTATATTCAACCATGGCCATTGTGCAGTTTTGACACTTTGGTATCGTATGAAAGTTTTTTTTTAACATTTTCATATCAACTCATAGACTCCTATACCATTCGAGAACTATCTCTTATTTTCACAGAAAACAACGAATAGCGCTGATAAGGTGGTTCTCGCTTTCCACACATCTCCGCACCATACCCGTATTGATACTTACTACGGCCCCCTCTCCCCGCATTCCCATCCCAAGTGGGGTAAAACAGTCAAGCTTGCCAACCCCCCCCCTCCCCCCCTTGCGCTTTCCGCTAAATCCCTCGTCCTTTGTTATTCTACCCTTCCTTTCCCCACCCTGCATCACTACTTTATCTGCCTTTATTCCGAAAACATCTTATTTGCTCGTATTTCCGGTTACTATCTAGGTATTGCGTTAGGTGAAGGTATTTCTGTTGAGCAAGCACAAAGCACAGACCAGAGATTGCAACACACTTTGGTGATCGAGGTAAGGATTTTTTTTGTTCCGGCCGCGGAAGTGTGGGATATGCTTTGTACTTGAAAGTTTGAATTGAGAATAGGGGGGGGGGGGGCGTGCGTATGGAATGCAGGGCGTAACGAGATGTGGACGTGGGAGAGACTGACTGAGTCATCCAGAGAGGTGTTATTTTGGCTCAAGTTTGACGCGTCGTATCGTTCTTTTCTCACCATATACAAGCAACGAGATAGAACATCACACAAAACTCTCAGCACCAGAAGCCAAAAGTCGAAAACGTCAAAAGAGGATATTAGATAAAAAGAAGATGGGAGTCTTTTACGAAACAATTCCGGATAGCCTCGTGTCATGGATCCAGGAGCAGCAAGTGTTCTTCGTGGGCACCGCACCGCTGGCAGGCAATGGGCATATTAATATTTCACCCAAAGGAGGCCAGGGACAGCAGTTTGGGGTGCTGGACGAGCGCACGTTTTGGTACATGGATATGACTGGGAGTGGAGTCGAGACGACTGCGCATTTGCACGAGCCGGGGAATGGGCGGATTTGTGTAATGGTGAGTTCTCTGTTGTTTATTTGCTTTGCTTACAAGATGGGGTCGCAAATTACAACAATACGTGCTGTGATTACCTTTCTAACAGCAAATCTTTGATTGGAAATATAGTTCACAGCATTCACGGGACCCCCCAAAATCGTCCGAATCTGGGGCACAGGACGGGCGCTGGAAAACGGAACTGCAGAGTACGAGGCGTTTGTGCAAGACCGCAAGCTCTCGTCTGCATTCAGCTCACGCAGCATCATCGTAGTCGACGTCCATCAGTGCGGGACATCGTGCGGCTTCTCCGTCCCGTACTACGACTTTGTGGGCCACCGGGATATCCTGGAGAAGCACTTTGCGACCAAGCAGAAAAAGTACGAGGAAGGGAACAAGGAAGAGTCAATAGATAGGTATTGGGCGTGGAAGAGTCAGAAGAGTATTGATGGGCTGCCGGGCATGAAGAGGGGGATCGAGTTTGCGGAGAAGGAAGGCGTGGCGCCGCTGAAGAAGATGGTGGGGAGGTATGCGCCTGAGAATCGGGCGAGGGAGGGGGCGAGGGAGAAGTTGGAGCCGGTGCACTTGCTGCTTGTGTTGTTGCTGGGGATCGTGATTGGGGGTGCGATGGCGCTGAGTGTTGTGACACCGGAGCGGTTGCAGGCGTTGAGGGAGAAGAGTATGGTTGTGTGAGAGAGGAGAGGAGAAGTCGTTGTGTCTAGGGCTGTTAGCTGTCTTGCTGTGACGTAGCAATTATGCAGTAGTGTAGCGTTTCTTATTGTTGATGCGTCAGAATGCGAGTGTCTTTGGAAAGAACAAAGGACTGGCTTAGTGGATGGTCATGTGACTGGCGCTGAGTATGTATACTACACCGGGTATGGATGAGGTTGCATTGAGGGACGGATATCTCGGTCTTGGGAGCTGGCTGGCAAAGGGATATCACTGCTTATTGCAGGGCAGAGTGGTGCGGGTGGCGGCGTTTATGCCGCGGCCGTTGAACAGATGGAGTATACGAGACGGGCGCCGAGGCGTGCTAAGGCGAAGCGAGGAACAAGTGGGGGGCCTGGCCTAACCCACCGCTACCTCAGTGTCGGGAAGGTGCAAGCGGTCCCATTACTCTAAAAGTATACATGTGATTGCCCATTGGTAGCCGTGTGTCTTGTATCAATAGGCGCGCTCCCGTGGTTTGCGCGCATGGGTGGGGCGGGCCCTGAACATACACACACACACACAGAACAGAACACATACTCGCACACGCTGGTGGGGTTGCACGCCCATATATACATGTGCGGACTTTGGTTATCCCGCGTGCTGATACATGCTATCGCCGTTTCCCCACCAGGACGGGCAATTTAAAGGGCCCGTGACGAGCGATAGCCAAGACTACCGTATACACACATACATATGTACGTACATAATAAGTACATACAGACACCAAGCTCACGTGTGCGCAAAGACTTGCCGAGGCCTAGCCTGCACCTGCACCAGAGCTTAATCTATCCAACCGACCATGGCGATCGTTCCAATCCCCGTCCTTTGCTCTATCAATCCAACACACACATGACGCTCAATATACGCCAAAGGAATGCCGCACCTCAGCCGCCCTCGTAAAGGATAAGCACCATAGTTTATTGTATTGTAATACTAACGCCCGCTCCGTGCTGTCGGCGCAACCCCCCACTGCTCTTACTGCGACACCATTGGCCGACTCGGACCTGGTCTTGCATCCATATCAACATGATTTAAAAAACAGAAGGAGAAAAAAAATCAGTCATCGACTCGGATCCCCCTCGGTCGCATCGCAAAGCTTATCTTACGCCTCAATGGTTCAGTCATGTCTTGTCAGTGTGCGTATGGGTGGGCGGTGGGCGCCGATGTTCCTGGCGCTGAGGGGCTTGCCAGAGACGCCTTGTCCGACGCCCAGGTCTTGGGGGCCCAGAGAATATTCCAACATGCGACGACGCGGTGGATCTCTAATGAGCGGCTGCAAGTCTGGGGGCGAATGGGCGAATGGTAGCGCGGATGGTGTGCTTGGCCAAGTCGGCGGTACTGGCTAAGACCCCAAGCTTCCAGCCATTATCTTGTTCTCCCGGGCTAAGCGGGCGGCGAGCGGCCGTGGCACACACACAACACCCCTGGTCGGTCTTATCCGATCTTTGTAGCGTCTTCTTTTTTTCGCCTTCTGTTGCATATCTCAACACCATTGTTCGCTGATATGGCCCGCGAACATCAGTGGTTGGCTGGTTGGCCTGATGGCTCCATAGGGCGACCCGCAAATAGCCGTATTCAGGCCCTCAGCAACCTGATACCTCGACGAGGGCATGCATGGCCCGCACACCCATCCGCCGGGTCTCGAGAAGCAAATGGGACGGTGGTAGCGCATCTGGGCGGTGCTTGGGGGGGTTGGTAGCGGGGTAGCGGTGCCCTCGTTTAGGCAGGAGATAAGAACAAGGCCATGCCACCTGGGCGCCACCGCGAATTGTTATCTTGCACGGGGCAAGCTCTCTTGTCCTCCAGCTTGCCAGTGGTGGTTAGCAACTTGGCGAGGCTTGAGTAGGCCGTACCGCCTCGGCGATGCGGTGCGAAAACAGCTTCGTGCCGCTCCATTCACTCACGCGCCGATTGCCCTCTTGGGTGTCCCAGCCGCGGTGGCAATGCCCGCTGTGCTGATGCCACATACCGCGACACTGTCAATACACCGCTGATCCTTGCTCCAGCGTGCGCGCCTTCCTCATTGGGCCTCAGCCTGGGGAGCACGACGTTGGTCCCATCATTTGCGTGCTCTAATTAAATACACCTTCACTCGGCCATTCTCACACCTTCTGCTTCTTCAGGGCCTCCTCTCTCACTCTTCCTCACTGCGACTATCCATATAGCTGCCATTGGCTGCTCTTCGCAAACAGGCCCAGATCCCCGGTCATTCTCTTCCACCATCGCCCACCATGCCTGTCGGCGACGCTGGTGAAGTCGTACGTCCCACCTTCAAAAAGTAAACAGTCCCTTTGCAATGACCTCCTAACACGTTCTACAGCAAGCCGTTGGCTTGGACCCTGCCCTGATTGACGCCTCGGGTGACCCCACGCGCCAGCACCCTGAGCAACACACTGTTGGCGCTCCCGCCTACCTTCACTCTGAGGGAAAGGCCACGCTTCAGGATGCCTATCTCTCAGAGGAAGATGACTTCCCCACCGAGGAGGAGCTCGCTACCCTTCCTCGTGTCCCTGCCAGGATCCCATGGAAGATCTTCACTGTATGTTTCTTCTCACGCCCACCGCACGTGAGAGCCACACTGACTCAGTTGACCAGATTGCCTTTGTCGAATTGGTTGAGCGCATGAGTTACTACGGTACCGTTGCCGTCTACTCCAACTACATCGCCAAGCCCCTCACGACTCCCACTGGTGCTGCCACCAACCCCGACGATGCGCAGGCCCAGCCTGGTGCCCTGGGCATGGGCAAGCAAGTTGCCTTCAGCTTGACTACCTTCAACGCCTTCTGGGTCTACGTCTGCCCCCTTCTCGGTGCCTGGATTGCCGACACCTACCTCGGTCGTTTCAAGACTATCCTCTACTCTGTCCTCGTTGCTGAAGTCGGTCACGTTATCCTCGTCGCTTCCGCCGCCCCCTCGGTCCTCAAGAACCCCGACACTGCTCTCGGTGTCTTCATTCTCGGTCTTATCGTCATGGGTCTCGGAACTGGAACTTTCAAGCCCAACATTGCTCCCCTCATTGCCGAGCAGATTCCTCAGGAGAAGATGCGTGTTGAGACCCGTGGCACCACTCGCGTCATTGTTGACCCTGCCGTTACCACCACCCGCATCTACAACTGGTTCTACTTCTTCATCAACATTGGTGCGCTCGTTGGTCAGATCAGCATGGTTTACGCCGAGCGATACGTTGGTTTCTGGTTGGCTTACTTGATCCCCACCGTCATGTTCGTCATTGCCCTCCCCGTTCTGATCTTCTGCAAGAAGTTCTACATCCTCCGTCCCCCGAGCGGCAACGTCATGGGCCCTGCTTTCAAGCTTTTCTTCAAGGCTCTCGGTGGTGGCATGACCGCTAACCCCCTCACAACCTGGAAGAACTGGAACAACGGCGACATGTGGAACGCCGTCAAGCCTTCGACTCTTGGCGCCAACAAGCCCAGCTGGTACAACTTTGATGACGCCTGGGTCGATGAGGTTGCTCGTGGATTCGCCGCTTGCTCTGTCTTCTTCTGGGTCCCCATCTTTTGGCTTGCCTACCGCCAGATGGACTCTAATCTCACCCAAATGTGCGCGACCATGAAGCTCGGTGGTGTCCCCAATGACATTCTCTCCAACCTTGACCCCATTGCCATTATCATCATTGTAAGTTGACTCGGCGCTACTAATTGCAAAAATGTTACTAACCTAACCTCAGGTGCCAATCATGGATAGCATCGTGTACCCCTTCCTCCGCAGGCGTGGAATCCGCTTCACCCCCATCAAGAAGATCACTGCTGGTTTCATTCTCGGAGCCTTCGCCATGGTCTGGGCCGCCGTTCTCCAGCATTACATCTACAAGACCTCTGGCTACTACGAGACTCACGACCCCGACTACCACACCGACATCTCTGTCTGGGCCGTTACCGGTGTCTACGTCCTCATTGCTATTTCCGAGATTTTCGCCTCGGTCACCACCCTCGAGTACGCTTTCACCAAGGCGCCCAAGAACATGAGGTCTCTCGTGCAGTCCGTTCAGCTCTTCACTACTGCCTTCTCCGCCGCTCTCGCCCAAGCTTTCACTCCTCTTACTGCCGACCCCCACATCACCTGGAACTACGGCAGTGTCGCCATCATCTCTTTCGTCACTGGTATTGCTTTCTTCTTTGCCTACCGCACCATGGACAAGCAGGAAGATTCGCTCAACCTGTTGCCCACTGGTCACCTTGGCACGGAGGAGCAGGCTGCTGACATTGAGAGGCGCCAGAGTGTCACCGCCACTGCTGAGAAGCACTAAATGTCTCGTATTGATGTAAATGATGCGAGGTGATTTGTTAGACATTTTACTGTTGAATGCTAAAAAAAAACGACGATATACCCCAAACTCATGTGTTCAAGAAGTGCAATGAGATTGATTACATGTTTGCTGTCGCGGGTGGCAACATGCTCTATACCTAGTCCCGAATTAATACAAAATGTTTGTTCAAAAATAAGCTTTGTTTGCCATGTTTTGTGAAATGATTACCGTTGTTTCAGAGGAAGTTGGCCATGTCTTAAAACAACTGCATCTGACGTCCCTCTATTGATTCTTAGGCAGCTACTTACTCATCTTCGATCCATGGTCGTCCCCCAACTTTTGCGTTCTTGACAGGTGTTGATTGGGGTTGCTTAGGGCGGTATCTCGGTGTTCCATGTCGTGTACCATGGTTGAGCACTAAGTTCGACTACGAGCGCCAATGGTACCATTCGCTTTTATCTTGTCGCAATGCCAACTAATATATATCAACACCCCCTGGCCCCCGTCAACTTTTACAGACTTTTGACATCTTCTCACTTCACAGACAGCGAGACAGCGCGCACCAGCAGCGTTTCTCACAGTGATCACACATATACCACAAAGACAGCAACAACAAGGCGCCGATATGTCTGACACAGATTCACAATGCTGGCCTCACAGCACCCTCCTCACAATGTCGTCCAACACGGACTATATAAAAATTCTCAACAAGCTTTCTCCGTTCTGGAATGAAGAGCTACACCACTGTACACCGATTTCAGCCTTCATCCCACATCCACGAAAACGCATATCACCGAAGTTTAACACAATATACTATCCAAGTTACTACTACCAAGAAATGGCTTCTTTCTCTCCCGTAATGACGCCAGGAGAACTCAAGAATGTTCTTGAGGCGGAAACACAAAGCAATAGACTCACACAATCTGCGATCTTTCAGCAATGGCTACAAGGCATTATCGGGACCAACACATCCCTCGGTATGAGCAACAGTGCAGCAACCCTCGCACTGCAGGACGCAATCATAGTTGGGCTAGACGCAGAATGGTACGAGCACGACCCATCCCTCATCACCGAACTCGGAGTCTGCGTTCTCGATCCTCGAAGCATCCCAAAGTCCAGTGACAATAGTACAGCAGGCCCATTATCAGCGTGGGACATTCTCGCAGCGCTGGAAACCCACCACGTACGTATCAAGCCCCATGCCCACTTGATCAACAAAGATTTCTGCAGTGGACACCCTGAGAACTTCCAATTTGGAAGCACCACCTTTGCAAGCATCTCAACCGCGCAAGAAATGCTGCGGTCTATCTTCCTCCGCCTTGACGAACACACCTCTCCCCGCCCCGTCATTTTCATCGGGCACGCCGTAGACAACGACTACGAAGTGCTGAAGCAGCGCTTCGGTATTGACGTCCTAAGTCTAGGCACCATCGTCTCAACCCTCGACACACAAACCATCGCTATAGAACAATCCCTCTCCCCCAACAACCGCCAGATCTCACTCAAAAACCTGCTCGCACACTACGGGCTCCAAGAACAATACCTGCACAACGCAGGCAACGACATTGTCACAACCCTCATCACCGCCCTCCTAATGACCCACCCTTCTGCCCCCTCGTCCTCTCCCACCCCGGCATCCCTCTCCTACGCAAACCTCAAACCCCTCCTAACCGCCTTCAACACCGCCTCCGCCTCCCCGCACCGCCCTTCCTACGGCCAACTCCGCTTCTGCACAAAATGTGACTCGGAGCTGCACACGCTACGACATTGCAAAGTCTCAATGCTGCACTGCGAGTTTTGCGCTGCAGACCCGGAGTTGGCGCGCGGATCCCATACGCATAAGACGGAGAAGTGTGTCGAGGGCGCGAGGAGGAAGGCGAAGAAGTTGCAGAATGCGGTGCCGTGTGAGTGGTGTGTGCAGAGTACGGATCCGAAGAGGTATAAAGGGAGAGGTGCGTATGGGCATGATAGTGTGGATTGTCCGTTTGAGGGGTAAAGCATGGGAGATGGTCTCGAAATTTCTTGCTTGGCAATTTGGCTGTGGGGGATTTTTTGGATATGGGATGTTGTAACTTTGAGAGTTACATGAGTTGGTCCTCCTTTTTTTTTGTTTGATTCAAATTCAAGTTGGTTAGCGAGGTGTAGATTATTTTCCTCATGATTTCTCCCCCTACAATTCAAAGTATAAAAATGAAAATAAAACGTATTCAAAGTTTTTTTTATTCCATCTTGTTCACATTGTGAAACCAAAACAGAACTAACTAACCCCCCATAACCCCCTCCATCCACGGATAAACCGTAGCATTCGCCTCGGGATACCCCATATGCAGCCTCTCCCTTAAAAATCTCATTTCCTTTGGACTCCCATACTCGGCCAGCAACATACTATCCTCGACCGGCATACACCCATCAAGCACCCCATTCACCAGCAACAACCTACAACTGCTCATCCCAGCCCCCACAACCGCCACACCCTCCCCCCTGCCACTCACCAGACTAAACTCATCCTGACACTTCTCCATAACCTCTTCAAACGAGTCATACCCGTATTTCTGACGATACGCCTCTTCGAGACCAAAGGGGTACTCATGCTTCTCCACTTGCGCCAGCCACTCGCGACCGATATAATGATGTGTTCCAGCACCATGTCCCACGCTGCCCACCAATCTCGTACGATGCGTATGCGCAAGCCTGATGGCATAGTAACCACCCGCACTTAGTCCCCACGCCAGAACTTTTGCAGCATCGAGATAAGGGGTTGCGTCGATCCAATCCAGGATACTGCTAAAGAGGCGGTCAGGGGATAAAGGGTCGCGTCTGTTGGCGGGGCAATCGACGGTTGTGCCGGGGATGTCGCACAGGACGGTGGCCCAGCCGCGGTTTAGGTGTTCTTGTGTGCGTTCGGTGTTGTCGGGGCGGTGGCCGTCGAGTCCGGTTATGAGAAGGATGGTGGGGAAGGGGCCGTCGCCGGAGGGTTTGCGGACGTAAATGGGGATCGAGGGTCCGTCGCCGTTGGAGGCGTGCGTGTGCGGGATAAGGATGTCGTGCATGGGTTCGTCCCAGAGTTGGGTGCCGCGGAGGTAGACTTTTTTTTGCTCTTCGAAGACGCGTTTTTTAAGGTCGGTGCCGATGTAGGGGAAGCGCGAGAGTCTGTAGACGGCGTTTGCATTAAGGTATAACCTTTTCGCGGCTTCTTTGTCTTTGGTTTCCATGTCTTGGGCTTCTTGGGCTAGTCTTTGGGCGGTGGGTAGAAAGGCGTTGGTGTATGCATCTTCATAAGGATCGTTGATGTTGTTGTCGATGAGGTTCTTGAAAATGGGCTCAAAATCTTCAAACTTTCCGTCGTGGAATGGATAGACACCTTTGGTGCAGGGAAATTTCCAACGTTGTTCCCATAGTTTCTGGATGCTGCCGCGGTGACCGTACTCCTTTGTGAAGAGATCACCCAGAATCCAAGTTCCTTCAGGCATTGTGTGGAACAATTCGTAAATTTATTGGAAAACAAAAGACTAGAACAATGTCTCAATGGCCCTGCATAAAATGATCCATTGCTTGTATGGCTGTATAAAGTATCATGTTCGGCGTTGGCGGGGCCGGATTGGATCGACTCGGCCCGGACGGGCCCCCAAACGGGTTTCAAGACCCAACTTTAAAAGAGTCTTGGACGTTACAAAGTCACCATGGTCAATTCTTAGAGGTGGGAATTAGTGGACATTTCTGAACCGCGCTAGTTCAGGGATACTCCTCCTCATTGTCCTCCTCGCCGGCCTTGTGCTTCACATATTCCCTCAACACCTGCACAAGCTTTGCTCTCCCGTCTTTTCTTTCGAATACCTGTGCATGGTCCACTGTAGGCCACCATATAGTTTCCATACCATGGCCTTTCCATTCAGAGTCTTTCCAACTATAATCCTCGCTCTTGAGATCGGCGTTGTTCAAATACTTGCCAACAGTCTGCGTGTCGACAATAAGATCCCGTCCACCAAGGCTCACAGTCACATCCCGACCTCGTAAATCCTCTTTCCAAAGAATATTCTGTGCCCAGAAAAAGTGCCGCGCTAACGTATGTGCGACCATCATATCGGTTGACGCAAAGTAGTACAGCTGGTGTTCGTTTGCACCTCGCGGATGACGCGCTGTAAAGTTGTATGCAACGTCTGGAAGGTGTAGAAGGAAAGTAACCGGGTCGATAAAGACCATGGGCCCAACTTTTGCAGCGGTGGTAGGGTTTTGAATGAGATGCGTGGAGATCACAGAGCCGTAGGAATGGCTAGCAAGGACTACTTTGTCGAAGCCATGGCGCTCCAGGATCATGTCAATCTGACGGCACATCTCATCTCTGCCAGGCATAGTTTCAGTGATGCGGAAGCTAATGGGCATGAGTTCAATCGCGATAACACCGACTTGACCATCCTCAGCTGCAAGTGGATCGTGTTTATTGATCTCGGTCAAGAACTCGACATATGGGTGTAGGCCGATACCAATTCCGTGGATAAAGAGGATAGGTAAGCGTGTTCTCGAGGTATGTGGCTTGTACCAGTAGCTCAGGTTTCGAGCGGGCGAAATGTTACGTGTAGTGAGACTTGCCAGGCGAGGCGGAAAGACAGCCAACGTGTTGCGGATATGGGTGCGAAAGTGCATGAAGCCAGCATAGCGCAGGCGAACAGCTGTGATGGTGTCGACAAGCATTACAATCTGACCTGGTCAGTATCTCATAAGCACAATATAACAGTGTACATACCATGTACCACAGAAACGGTCGGTGAGCCATGTTCACCTGGTCAATAGTCAAGCGCAGGCTCTTTGCGCTGCCCATTCCAGGCGCTAACTTTCGCCCCAGCATCGTTTCAATACCATCAGCATACTCATTCAGTTCGTCGTCTTCTGAATGGCTCTGCTCCGGTTGCGCCTGCCTCCTCTTCATGCGCTCATCATCGCTTTCGGTACCGCGATTTAATAGCGCCCATGCAAAAAACTCGCGCACATTCTCTCGTCGCACCTCTCCAGGCCTGGCGCCCAGAAACCATCTACTGATGTAATATTCTGGGTGAGGAATCTTATCCCAGCATCGCCAGAAAAGTTCCTTCCTGTCTTCCTGTGGGAGTAGCGGGGGATGTTGTGCTGATGCCTGAAGCGTGCGCTTGCGGGGTATGTACACAAGGAGCCAAAATGCCGTCTCGATGGCGCTCCATGTTAGCAAAAATCGACGAAAGGCCGTATGGGGAGGCTCGGCGATACTGAAGGAAACCCAGAATATGCTGAAAGGCGTGATAGCGCGTAACCCCAGGATGCACGTCCGGATGAATATGTACTTTGGCACCGTATGATCAATCATGATCGCAGCGAACGGTACTCGAAACCGTTCTCAACTTGCCCCTAATCCGACACGAAAAATGCGAGGAGCTATTGTACTATCGCAAACATGTTGGTTGTTGATAGACGGGAACTCCACCTTCTGCAGGCACCGATGACGCAGGCACTTGCGAATCTCTTAGTCAGCCTCACCCCGTCATCTGATCATCTTGCATATCATTATCTTAATTATTGCTGCCTAAAAATACAGCCAACCTTCTAATCTAGTGTTCGAACGCTGATATCCAAACAAACAACACCTCTTTGCAGGTCTATCCGAAACACCTCGGATCTTCTATACGTATTGTCTAAGAAGATTAGTCTGACCCATCACGTGACGAATGTCCACCACCTGAGCCACGACGCTTGCCAAATTTGCTGCTGGATTCATTTCCAGGTCGTTCCCTCCAGCTGTTTTTCCACGGTTGTTTCCCGCCGCCTTGGTGGGTGGCCTCCTGCCCATTTGGCTTCCCAGAGTGCATAACCCGACTGGGCGAAAATGAAGGGCGATGGTCTTTATTGCGCGAATGGGGTCGACTGTGGTCATCAGAGGAGGACTTTTCGCGCGAAGGGGGTTGACCGTATTCGACAGAAGAGGGCTTCCCACGTTGAATATATCTGTTCTTTTTATTTCTCTTCTTCTCTTCTCGTGCCAATGCATCCCTCTCCCGCCGTTGAGCTGCCTTGTTATTGGCAACGCACATGCAATGTGCTGAGATGTGTTCCTCGTCGGGTTCGAGTTGGCACTTGTTGGACTTGCACTCGTCACAGTGAAGACCTGTCGCTGTGCAAGCGGACTTCATGTGCCCAGGCTGACCGCATCTCCAACAGTACTCTTCTACACCGCCAATCGATTTGAAGTTAGTGACGCTATACCGCTCGATATCAGTGGCGACTTCAAGCATCCTATACTTCGGGTGGTTTCTGCACGCGTGTTTACCAAGCCCAATCTGAAAGGCGCAAATCAATGTGCGGCCTGCATCGTTGGCCGCGGTGTGGGGGTCACTATGCTCGAACGACAGGTTTTCTACAAGTCGCTTCAGCCCAATCTGTTCCTTGCGGGGCATGTTCCAGCTATGCATCTGTCGAGCAAGAACTTGCGTATCAATATACCGGACCACTGTGCCAAGAGGGTCCATGTCGAAATCGATCGCTTTGTGCTTCAGATTCTTCTTGTCGTGGCTAACATCATGGCCCAGGACGACAATGGGATGATTTCCTTCCAATCCAGGAACGCCCTTGATAGGCTGGACAAACAAATCGTGCATTATCTGCCGTGCTTGGGCAAAGGTGACAAAACGGCCTTTTCCAAATCGGTTGCCAAGTACCCCTCGAGATTGTGGGTTCTGGTTTGGCAGATGCGATGTCTCTATCAGCCGTAGCAAGTAGAATTGTACTTGCTGCATCAAATGCTCTCCAAAATCTCCAAAATCTCCCTCGTTCACAAGCGACACAACATCTTGTCGGGAAAAGGTAGCGATACCCACTTCGGTCGTCTCTTCCGTGTTGTTGGACCAGTGTTCGCAGTCTAGACATACCACGATGATGTGGTCGGCAGCTTCTCGTGCAAAATCGGGAATGTCAGAGATGTGGCTCATCCCAATGCAGTACCGCCACACTTCAAAATCTGTGAGTTGATCAAAGCGGTTTTTGAGTGCTTTGATGGCGGTGTCTTGCTGTTGCTGCGCAGATACTGCAAAAGGAATGTCCGTTGTGAAAGGCGTCGCGTTGGCATCATAGGACGTAGTGATTTCGGTGTCGACAGTGAGCGTAATCTCCATGGTGATCTATAATAAATATAACCTTGTGTAAAAGCCAAAGCCTGGAAGTTGCGCTGACGCCAGATAAAAGGCTGGAATGGAACTGGAAAGAGCCACCATCTATCAGTTTGTGCTCACAAACGGGATATTGAAGGAAACAATATAAGAAGTAGTAGAGGTTGCAAGATACTGCAAGCCCGGGCCGAAGCCAACTTAGCAAACAAATAGGTGTTGGTGAGGGTTAATGCGCGGGGGTCTCGGATCGGTGAGAGCAGTGTAAGACCGGGAGGTTTCCGATGAAATTGGCTTCAATAACAAAATTTATGACTTACAGGTATGAGTTCGTTTTGGAAAAATATTTAGCATCTGAGTCGAGTGTTGTGCGTAGATTTGCTATCGTGGCGGTTGGCCCTACGCAAGCATTTACCATAACCCTGCTCTTTTTTCTACAAATGAGTTCTAGTCACAGACTCTAGAAGAATCACACAAGGAACTGTAATTCTATCCATGCTATATATATGACAATAAAACGACATCGTGTTCTCCTCGTGGGAACCGTTCTTGTTGAACCATAGTTCCGAAAACTATAGATTGACAATGCCAAAAAAGATGTTGGTGAAGTTCAATTCATTAATATTGAAGAACATGCATCGCTTGGTAATATCTACCCAGATGGTACGATATCGTCCTATCAGAGTAGCCGAATATCTAACAACTAAGGCTGTATCTCAAGTTCACATATCCGGTCAGTGGTTCATCATTGCTAAATACTTGAACACGAAACTAGCGCTTCTTGACACAACGTTAATGACCACGATAATAGTAACAACTGGTTCTAGTCTATGTAACGTGAAGCTACTATAATACTTTGTGGTAAATTCTCATAGCTGATGATCGATTACAATAACCAGCAATCAAATACGGAGTGCACACCTCGTGCCCCTCTGACTTCAACAATGGGTGAATCACTCCAACTGTGTTCAAGAAGCCGCGAGAGCGGAAAACTTCATGAATAGGTAGGAAAACGCGCGATGACGGTATGCATGTGGTTGATAGGCTACAATGCGTGAGGTGAATCGAGTTTTGCAAGGAAACCCGGAAAAGTGAATGTCAGAGCGCACAAAGACTGCACATGGACCAGTGAATTGTGAGAATTCACCAAGTGGGTTTACGCTGCGTTCGATAACCATAGTTCGCTCACTTTGCTATCTTGCTATCACCTCTGGGCATACAAAGACCTTACGACTCATAAATCTCGACCAAAAAACTTCTTTTCCTATTCTTCCTCAACAAAGGTCCATTCGAAACAACAGGTACCATACAAGAAAAGCCTGAGACATACCTTGGGTTAACAACGCACCATGAAATTTTTCCGTTCTTCAAAGCCTGTCAAGAAGCAGCCACCAGAGTACAGTGCATTTACAGGCGAACAAATTCCACCTCCACCCATCGAAGGACTGGCGGCCTTGTCGATTACTGACCCGCAATTCAGTGAACGCATGGAAGATGTCGCCCACTTCTTCCAGGGAATGAGTCATAAAGAGGTTCTCGAGTTCTGCTTGGGATTTGAAAGGCCAAATACTCCGATACTTGCTGAACACGTCGTGCTTATTGCGGTGCAGTGTGGCGAGCTGTATGGAGAGCGCCGTGCACTGCTGGATATTGGAGTACACACTGTCAAACGCCGAGGCATACAGGAGAAATTTGCATCTCCTGGACCGCATAGCCTGGATATCATTCGCAACGTATCATACCATCACATAATTATGCAGGATAATGCGTATCTTGTGAATCTCCGAGGAAGTCCTCTGGATTCTCAGAAAACCCGCTTTGGGCGCACACGGTATGTAGACGGGAAAGAAGCCAAAGTTGTGCTAGAAAATTTCTTACGACAACCTGTCGAGCCCCTGCTATCGAGAAATGAGTATTGTTCTGTTTCAAACAAGTATCTAGTCCCAGGTGCCTGTCCCATTGTCATTCTACAGGATGGCTCATGGCAGCGGCATTCACTACTCAATGCTCTCGGTCTTGAACAAATAACTGGAGAGAATATTGTATCAATGATAAACACACAACGAATTGCTTGCGAAACAGGCTTTGGCTGGCGCGACAAGACTTTCACATTGGGGCAACTCGCTACCGATCTTAAGATTGACTTTCCTGAATTCCGGAGCGCTGCCGACTGGGCTGCATATTCCCTCATCACTTCTGTACAAATGGTTATGCTCTCAAAAATACCACTGGCGGAGCAGCCGATTCAGTCGGTCGTCAACATTGTAATGCTGCACAGCCAATGTAATCAACCGTTATGGGGTAGCGAGCACTATTGTTCGAGGTGCGGACATGACAGTCACAGCCGCAAAGATTGCCGTGTGATGCAAATTGTAAGGAAGTGTCCCAAGTGTGCTAAAGCAGGGAGGCACCCAGCTGCGACGACTCATATACCGCTAATGTGCCCCTGGTAAGACTGCTCGTTCATTGCCCAGTTGGTTGGGCAGAAGCAATGTTCATGGTTTTGGAGATGGGGTTCCGCTTCTAGAAAGGTATGTAATAATAGAGTTTGTAGAAACTTAAAGCATCACTGTTTGCTGGACGATGCTTGCACCTTCAAATGTGAACATGTATACAGCACCAACCGTTTGTGGCGTTGAGCTGAGACTGAGACGTTACATTTGCGGGATGAGATCATTAGTACCAAGCCACATGTGGCGGCAGCAGCCGCGCGCACCCTTCTTCCACACCTCAAGGGTCACAACCTGTCACTTGTCCTCTACAAAATCTCATTCGCCACAGCACATTTTGGCTATCTTACAGCATATCTATATACGTGCACCGACAGCGCGGCTTACTCTGTATCGACCTATTGTACCTGGTACAAGGCTGGGGTCTCCACACCTGCCTTCCCCGCATCCCACCTTATCAGGCCATCTCCACGTGTTCGCGACTCAAGTCTACAAAGTACCTTTCGGCCATAGGTCGTTGGATCTCCAATATTAACACCACACCAATGTCAAATTCCATAACCAACGGCGACAAGGGGAGTGCTAGCGCTCCCCGTGATCATTTGAGTAACTTGCCCGAGGAAATCTTGCTCCAAATCTTCGAAGCCGTGGGTCGCAATGCCAGGCGCGACCTCTGTAATGTGTCGCGCGTCAACAAGAAATGTCATCGCCTCAGTGATGCCATTCTCTACAAGAGTATTCTTTTCGATTCGCCAGAGCTGCATCTCACCTTTAGCGAGTCGCTGAGTCGGCGACCCCGTCGTGGCTCTGCTATTCACGAAATCAAGCTCTCATACCCATCCTCGGAACTGTCGCAACTGGCCCTCGATGCACCAGTACATGGCTCGTATCTCGACCCCAAGCGATCAGACAGCCTTTCACGGACATTGTCTATCATGTCGAATTTGGAAAAGTTGGACATCTCAGTACCAGATGTGTTGCTGCATGGCATTGGCACCTTGTTCAATGGTCCGTTCGATCTCACCTGTTTGAAGACATGTTCGCTATTCTACCAATGCGCCAATGATGCATACTGGGACCTCCGCGAAAACATTCACATATTCGCTCACCCGACTCTTGAGACTTTGACCATTCGACGAGCGAAGCTAGACGAAAAAGGCTTTGACCACATCGAGCGACCCCACATGACAGCGCTAAAGCATCTCCATTTGATCGAGTGCGACATTAACGATGATTCGCTTGGCGATCTCCTTGAACTGCCCGAGGCGCTTGAGGAATTTGTTATGACGCAGACAGAAGAGCCAGAGCCAGAGTTGGAGGAGAGTTCCGATAACGTTGGTGACTACATCTTGGCTGCACAGTCGCAGGCCGAGTTTCTAAAGAGCATTACAATCGACCACCCTACACTTACTGGACGCAAGGTATTACGAATGAGAGAGTTTGCAGCACTGGAGACCCTGCGTCTGAATTGGGACTATCAACTTTTTGGGAAATCGTCTAAACGACCAAGGCTTCATTCAGTAGGGTTACCGCCGGTCATGGAAACGCTCGAGTTCTTCAACGATCTGGGAAGCGACAACGAAGTCACGGATCTTTTGCTGGCTACGATTGAGCAAAAAGACGTTGTTGCGCGGAACTGGAAGAAATTTATAGTAGTCGAAGGGGAGAATGGAGTTTCTCGAGAAATCAAGGATGCGTGCAAGGCAGCGGGACTTCAGCTAGACATCATCGGGGCCATGGATGACGATTCAGACGAGAATTCAGATGACGACTCAAATAACGATTCAGATGAGAATTCAGATGAGAATTCAGATGACGATTCGGATAAGAACAGCGAATAATTTTGGAAGAAATTAGATCTTCACCAATATCCGCCTAGACGTGTGCGCCGCATGACCCTGGAATACCTGATCGCACTTGACCGCATGCTTTTCAACAAGAACCTCGCTGTATCAACTACGCAATTCTTCGTCATTATGCACGCTTCAGATCGCATCAGATTCGACCCAAAGTCCTTGGTAATGCCATGGTATATAATTGTAAAGACCAATCGTGCTACCATGGTGTCGTTTCTCGATATCGAGAGGTTGTCAGATCGATATTCTAAGGAATTCAAACGGCTCTTATCACGCGAGGCCACGTCAGTAGCGATTCCAGGGATGACAATCGTAGCCAAGAAAGTACCCCACGTCCAGGCGACAACGATAAAATCAGCGCACGCGATCACACTTTGTATGCCTGGCTATTCGGTGTGTCAAATCGGTCTATTATAGGTTGCGAACCGACCGTACAGGGGAGAAAGGGTTGTTGAACTTGCCCAGACATTCATCTGTCACACATCCCAGGACTATTCGAGGCATCTCTTACAGCAAACCAAAGTCACCGGCAGCGTAGAGTCGGATAGTCTATTCCTCACTTGCGAACTACCGACTAACTTCAATGTCCATTTTCTTCTTTTTAGTTCATGAAACTCAACAAAGCGGAGGAAGTACTTGTCATAATCAACCTCGATTAGAAGCATTCTTATACCTAGAAATACATGTAGATAAAGCAAGATAAAAATACCAATTAGATACCTCTACCACTAAATCTTCCACATATCCAAACAGGGGGATCCCATCTTTCCATATCCTCCTTTTCCTACCGCAAAACAAGCGTATATCTCCCCTTAACCACTATCCTCGCTCTCCTCCCTCCTCTCACATCCTTCCCCTTACCCCTCGCTTTCCCCCGTCCCCTTCCCTTCTTCCCCTTGCCATTCCCCACTCCACCTCCCTTCCTACCCTTTCTCCTGCGTAACCCACTATCCCGCCACCCTTGCACATACATCCACACATGCCGCGCAAGTACGAGTACCACCATGGCTATACTGTCGGCCTTGAGCTTGATGTGCGTGGTGGGTACATAGGAGAAGGTGGGTCGCGGTAGGGCTGCGAGGAGGGAGAAAGGGAGGGAAACGATTTGTTTGAGAGCTGTAGTTATTGTGTTCATTTTGGATGGTAGAGGAAAGATGGGAGAAAGAGGAAGAGGGTGGATGAAGGAGGTTTTGTGGGGGGGATTGACGTGGCGGGTTGTGAAGCAGTTCTTTGTTGGTGTCAATGGATTGTGGATTTTCCTGCGTGACGTTGTTCGTATCATATCGAGAGGCGTTTTTGGACATGCAGCCATGTATGGTGGTGCGTGGCTTTCATGGTTGAAACAGGGTTACCGTTGATACTGTGGATTGGGGCTTTGGTTGAGAGGCTTGGTGGCAATGGAAGATGGCGCTTTTCATCTGTATATTCCACGTTTGGCGTCTATGCCGTGATATGCAACGCCAGCAGGCAGTTCGAGTGGCCTGTCGTCGTCAAAAGTCGGCTGTAGCAAGTTAGTTCAACCGTATTCCCAACTAATCTTACTTGAGATGAAAGAACGAACCGCTGCGACGTATCCGTCAATTTGCTGGGGAGGCAGAGGACCCAGTCTCCCACTCCCTTGCAATTCCTGAGGTCCACTATACTGCTCTTGGATGTCGAGTTGCTGTGGACGTAGCAACGCTCCTTGGGGGTTGCTTTGCGCACCTGCTGGCGCCGTATATTGGTATCCCACAAACGGTGTCAACTGGTCTTCCTGCATTTTGCGTAGGGCCTTTTTGCGCTGTCGTTGTTTTCTGCACATTACACAGAAGATGACCGTGCAGAATGCTCCTACTATTACTAGACAGCCGAGGCCAACGATGCTTCCGATAACAGCGGGTTCCAGATATGTGCGGCGGTGAAGGGGCGCCATGTTTCGCGGTATATCTTGTCACGTTTTCAAGCTGGTGTCGGGTTGCTATTGTACATTGTACCGCATATCAGGAACCTGTGGGTTTGGTGTATTTAAACGTGCCATTGGCTCAGAGTGGCTATGCAATGCGTTCAAGCCACGAACTTGGCCTGACGCAGCCATTGGCAGGATGTAGTGGAGCGTCTGCGGGTTGTTGGGGGCCTGAATGTTCATCTGCCTATTGTATTTGCCAGGCTTGCTTGAATGGATGTGATATTCAAGAGGCTTGAAAGTAGGGCCGAGAATAGAACAGTAAAATGAGGGAATTTGGGTGCGGATCATAGAAAGATAGCCTTGACGAGCAGGCCACGAGGATGATGATGTGGAGGTGTCCCGTGTGTGTGCCATCACGCCTACCAGGGGTCTACAACTGTCCTAACCAAATTCATATTTGCATAACAAGTGGCTTACACTGAAACCACCAATTGCGTAGAAAGGTAGATTTGCGATAACAAGTACACGTGACGATACCTAAGGGTGGTGGATAGAAGCCTCAAAGCCGCTTGCGCTAGCGCCAATGGATGACGCGCGATTCGGCCTAAATGAAGATGACGTGCGGCATCTAGCTGGCCGTGTAGATCAAAAATATATCTTATGCTCGATATCCTACCCAACACCACCTCTTCTTGCCCTCCATGGTATGTGGACATTAAAGATGCTGGGATCAATAAGCTCCTGTCTGCGCTAAGCTCGGCTATAATTCTCCCAGCCACGGCTGAACTGCCATCACGCGCCAACGCAACCACCCCACCACTACGCATTACTGCCTTTTGCGCCGCACAGTCACACTGCATACCATCGTATCGCACTGATCGCGGAACTTACAATAAGAGACTGCTGCGCGACACTGCCTCAGTCACAACTCCCCAGCATCGGCCACCCAGCTCGGAGTATGCTCTCGCCATATCGACACACCAGAAGACGTCAACACTGCAACAAACAAAATGGATGAGGACCTGCGTATGCTTGAGGTATGTGGGCAAGGAGAACTGACTCAACACGCGCATCCACTAACACGGACGCGTTTTACAGGAGGAATATTGCCCGCCAATAGATCCTACGCTTCTCTATACCATTTATTCGGACTATGCAGGGGAACCAGATGCCGTTGCTCGCACCAGGGAACTATTGGAGACCCTGAAGGCCACAGCTGAAGTGGAAGCACTGAATTTTGACCCCTCTGGTAGCAGTGGGGGCGCCGTGCAAGACAGTCCAGACAAGAGCAGCACCGACGCCGATTCATGGGGTACCCAGACGGTAACGACAGAGCACTCGTCCCTTTCAAACGACTTTGCTTCGCTTAGTGTAAATGGGGGTTCGGGAAGCCCACAGGAATCATTCGAGAGTGGATATTACAAAGATACGGAACAGTTTGATGTTCCTACCAAGGAACTGCTGCTCGCCGAGACGTTCCCCGGCTTGCGGCTCGCCCAGGTGACGCACACGCTGAAAAAATGCGGCTACGATTACGACAAAGCAACAGACGAGCTACTCAATCATGTCTTCTTCGATGATAGCAGGAAGAGCCCTACAGAGGATGGACCTATTGCCAAGGGTATTGAAGCCTTTTCTGAAGACCATCACATACCACAAAAGGGAAAAAAGGGCAAGGCAAAGAAAAGGCAAAAAGTGTCTTTGAATAACGCTGGGGCTGATTATTTTGTTGAATCAGATGCGCCGACAAACCGCTGGCAGAACACAAGCCGTGACGTGGATTTTGTCACGTCGCGCACGAGCGTTCCACCAAAGACTGTCTCGTCGCTCTATCATGCGAACGGTGCATCATTGTCAGCGACTGTGTTGGCAATTGTGAGAAGAGACATTGAAGCGCACAAAAAGGAAGGGCAGCCAGATGCTGCGCTAGTACAAGACGCAATCACCCTAAACGAGAGTTTTCCTTCGATCGATTTGGAGCATGCCATTGCAGTCGTGCGCCTGGCTGCCCCGTCGACCAGCAAAGCTAAAGAACTTGCAAAAGCCCTCACCCAACAACCGGCAAGCGAAACGGGCGGCAAAGGTGGCATCAAACTTGACTTGCGATATGCTCCAGTCGATCTGTCTGATCCTTCGGAAGTAACCAAACTGCCTGTCCTTGCGCCTTCTGCCAGGCCCCGCGATGCCGTCTCCACCGCTGCTGCTCGAAACGATGCGTTTACAAAAGCATCTGGCGCTTACCGCAGAGGCAAATCAACACCACTCATGAGGCAAGCTGCAGCTTATTATGCGCAAGAGGGCCGTGACCTCAACGCCAATCTGAAAGTTATGAACGCAGCTGAAGCCGATTCGTTAGTTTCATCACAATCAGGACCTACGCACCTCGACCTGCACGGCGTAACTGTTGCGGACGCGACTAGGATAGCAAAGCAACGCACACAGGCTTGGTGGGACGGCCTCGGGGAGCGCAGGATTCCTGAGTGGAGCGGTCCTGGCCGTAGAGGCGGAGGCGATGTCTTCAGGATCATCACAGGCTTGGGTAGACACAGCGAAGGCGGCCAAGGTAAACTGGGGCCTGCGGTGTTGAAGACATTGGTAAACGAGGGTTGGAAGGTTGAGGCTGAGCCTGGTGAGTTGTACGTCACAGGTTTGGCGAGAAGAAGATGAAGTTGAGCCTGGATCTGGAAAAGATGCGTTGTATACAGGCCATTTCTGTGTCAATGTTGTTTCAATATACCCTTGTGTATGCGCAAAAGCGCAATGATATGCCAAATGATGAACATTGCTGCAACAACTATTGTGTAAACCAGAGAGCGTTGAAGTTGGCATGCCCCTATCCCTATCTTGACGTATTAGCGTCGCGCCAAGTCTTCCGCCGTTGACGGACCCACACTCGCCTTCCCCGTCCCCCCATTTTTCCCATGGCCATTACGCACGCGAGAACAAATCTCGAAACACTCGACAGCTTGTCGATAAGCTCTTCCTACATGAGCAGTCGCAGGGTCAAGGCGCAATCGCTCTCGTGCCTGGGTTTCAAAACCAAAACGCGCGTTTTTTTCCTCCCTTTCTCGGGCATGTATGGCGCTGCGGCACGTCTGCCCGTTTCATGGGGGCTGCGACAGAAACAGCTACACCATTTGTATGCGAAAGTCGTTTTTTGGGTAAGGATAGACTCGCCCGTTGACAAACGGTGTGTATAGACGTTAGTTGCGAAGGAGTAATCGCCCAGTACCAACCCGATGATGTGAGGATTCAATTGATGTTTTCGAACACTTTACAGCATGCAATTGGAATATTGCGACAGCAAAATTATCAACTCGCTCATCGTACAGGCATGTACAGGTACCGTAAAGATAGTCATCGTTCTATCCACATAGTGGGCCCACCCACGTAATGAGCGTTTCGCCCTCAAGGCCTCGTAGTCACAGACTCTCCGCATTGCGCATGCCTTGCACCACCTGCACCCGCCTGAGGGTCTGTCCACCCTTGCGCGCACGCAACATGATAGCCTTGCAATCGGGATCGCTACCAACACGGCAGGCCAAGGATGGAGTAATGGAATAACCAGTTTGAACGCGTCAACATTTTGATACCGGACGTGCCATGCCCGATGGCGGACCCTTGCTCCAGTGCAAGAGAAGAACGAATATATAGAAGGCAGCTAGAAAGTCGACAATTGCTTTTTTGTTATCAAGTATTCGATACTCGTTCAGTTAGGCGGTTGCAAGCACCGTTCACACATATTCATATATATACCACCAGCATTGTACATTCTGCTGCTAGCCAGCTTCGTCTTTACTGTTCCTACACAGACTACTTTCATACACCGCTGCCGGACAGTCTCTTTTTTTTTAACACGACTATCTTTTTGATAAATCTACCACGATACGCTATATTCCACAAACGCCATCATGAAGTTCGACACTAGCATTCTTCTTGCCTCTTTGGCTGCTTCCGCCGCTGCTGCTCCGGCGGCTAGGCCCAACAATGTTGCTCTTGAGAAGCGCTTTCCTGTGCGTCTACCTTTTATTTCCTCTAAATGGCAATCGGTAATATGATATGGGCCATTATAACTAACAACTATCTAGGACGGAACCGCAGCCCAGCAACTCCCCGCACACTTCATTTCCACTGTCCGCCGGTTCACAGGCGAGAAGATTAAGACCAAGCGTCAGCTCGATGGTCTCCTCGGCAGCCTAGGTGGTGGCGGCCTTGGTGATCTTCTCGGAGGACTGACTGGCGGCGGCGGTGGCAACGAGGAAAACGCTCAGGCGGATTCTGGCAATGCTCAGGAGGGTTCTGGTAACGCTCAGGAGGATTCAGGCAACGCTCAGGAGGAGTCTGGCAACAACCAGAATGCCGGTGCCGGTGCTGGTGCCGAGAACGGTGCAGCTAACAATGGCACTGAGGCTGCTGGAGCTGAAAATGCTGCTGCGGGTAATGGACAGGCTCAGATTGAGGGTGAGGATGAGCAGGCCCAGGGAAATGCCGGTAATGAAAACGCCGCTGAGGAGGATGATATTGAGATCAATGGGTTCGCAGGAAATGATGCCCAAGGTATGTCTTGTTTATTCTGAACTTGAAGTTATATTCTAACGCTTCCCAGCTGCTGGACAGCAAAATGCTGGTGGTGCTGCTGCTGCACAGCAGGGACAGGCTGGTACTGCTAACGCGGCTTCTGCCCAGAAAGGAGCAGGAAACGCGAATGCTGGTGCTGCTCAGCAAGGCCAGGCACAGGCTGGTAATGCTAATGCAGCCTATGGTCAGCAAAACCAGGCAGCTAGTGCTGGAAATGCCGATGCTGCCTCTGCTGAGCAAGCCCAAGGTCAAGCCGGTGGTGCCAACAACGCTGCTGCCCAGCAAGGACAGGCAGCTAACGCTGGTAACGCCAATGCTGGTAATGCTAATGCTGGAAACGCCAACGCTGGAAACGCCAACGCTGGAAACGCCAACGCTGGTAATGCTAACGCGGCTTCTGCTGAGCAAGCCCAAGGCCAAGCTGGTGGTGCCAACAACGCTGCTGCCCAGCCATGTGCTGGTGGCGTTGCTGGTGCTGGTG